GTGTGTGTGTGTGTGTGTGTGTGTGTGTGTGTGTGTGTAGATGTGTGTGCGTGTGTAGATGTGTGTGTGTGTGTGTGCCATTTCCATACCCTCAAGAAATGGTGGGGGAATTGCAGGGCAGGGCAAAGCATGGGGGAACAACCTCATGTGTAAGGTGAGATGGGGAAAGTAGGCCTTTGTCCGGAGGATGCAGGATAGAGCATTACTAGGAAGTGAATAATTACATTAGTTGACTTCTGGAGTGCAGCAGAAACGACTCCTGAACTTACTTGTAAGTCGTAACCCAATTGAATGCAAAGGCAGACGGCGGTGGCATTACATGCATGACGCTTCTGTGTATTTATCCCAAGGCAAGGAGATGGTCCAGCAACTGCAAGGTTTCGCGAATCCAGGATTGTCAGAAAAGTTGAAACAGGGGCACTGCAAAGGTGCCATTGCATTCCTGGCTTGATGCTTTTTCTTGTTTTGTCGCAAGGCAAGGAGATTGTTCAACAAGTAGGTGGTCTGGCAAATCCAGGGTTGTCGAAGAGGCTAGAACAGGGGCTCTGAAGGCCAGACAATTGCAAAAGCAGCAAAGCAAAAGAGAGCGAAAGTGAATGAGGGCTAGCTACATTGCAAACGAGGGCGAAAGTGAGCGTGGGCTATATTGCAAAAGCAGCAAGGCAAGGGAGGTCAACAAAGAACACTTGTGTTCCCTTGGTTAAGGGGGCAGAAGGGGCAAACACAAGGCGCCGCTGAGCTAAGTCCAAGGAAAGGCAAGGCAAGGCAAGGCAAGGCAAGTGCATGACGGCAGTGGACGGCGAGCGGTAAGAACCCTTGCGCCTGTTCCATTCCTTTGGTGTCACCCAATGATTCCTAGAATTAGAAATTCAGGTTAACGAGCGAGTTGGCAAGCAGCAATCTGTAATCTCTTCTCATTTATGGGTACTATATGTGTGGCTATATCTTGTAATAGCAGCAATACCAATCTATTCAAGTCTATTGATAAGTGAAAAGTTGAAAACCCATCGAGAGAGTATAAGTGATTCACCACTTTAATTGGTTCACGGTATAAGTGTTTTACCACTTCACTTGGCTCGCGGTGTGAGGATATGGGTGTCTGTCAATGGAGGATCATGGATTGCGCACCCAGTTGGGAGACGCATGTCTCTCATCAACTGCAAACAGCAGCGATAACCTGCAAATCTCGAATGTGTTGATTCGTAATATTTATGTTGAAGCACCCCCTACAAACCCTGGTACCCTGCACTTTACTCCGTGTGACATGGTTTGCCTGCCATTGTTTCTTACAGTCGACCATCGAGCCGACGTGGCATAAGAATTTGTCTCTGTCTGTGTGCATGTGTACGAAGAGAGAGAGAGAGAGAGAGAGAGAGAGAGAGAGAGAGAGAGAGAGAAAGGTGTGTGTGTGTGGGGGAAAGGGGGGGGGGAAAAGCAATGGACC